TTTGCATGTTGTTGTGTTAACCTTTGGTACATAGTTAACTTATGATCTTACTAATTATGATGTTAAAAATTCTTCTAATCTATGACTTCTAACTGTCGCCTATTAGAACAAGTACTTTAATGTGCAATAGCCTAGTGGAATAGACATAGAAAATTGCAAACTTGATAGGGGATCCAAAAAGTCCTAGGAAATGTTGCATGGTTAAGTCCTGTAATATGATTTCCAACACTTCTTATGACCTAGACATGAGCTAAAGAGAACAATGTTCCTATTTGGCAACTATCACGTATGATAATGCATAGAAAATTATAAGAAGCGATTGTACTTGAGTCATCAAAGCATGAGCATTACTTTTTATAAAGGACGCTCAATTACTCCATGTTTTTTATCAGTTCCTCTCTTATTTTTTGCTGTGTTTATTATTTATCTAAGAATTTATATACTTTCATTCACGCAATTGAGATCACTTGAAACTAGGTTTACTAGTGTAGTAAATTAGCGCTTCCCCTATTTGAAATATTTTTTACAATTTCCTTGTGGGATCGATACACAGACTTGATATTCACATATTTCTTGATCAATATGTATAAATTAAGGCTTAGTTCACTAACTTTCTTCGCAGTAAATTCAGGCATCAATTTCTAGCAAAGTTGATAGAGAAAGGAGTTAAAAATGTTTTGACTTTAGGAGAACTTTAGTTGAACAACATAGAGTATATGTTTAAATATTTTATGTTTCCCATTTTTTTTATTTATAATTTTTTTTTGGTTGTGCCTATATGTTGCATTTCCATTCTTATTGTAGGTGCTAAAAAGCCAAAAATACATAAAAAATAATTTTTTTATCAGCATATTTTTTGTTCATCATGTATTCCCCTATGTTTACTTCCTATTTTATTTTTTTTTGGTTGCATTACCTGTGTTAGCATAGTACCACAGTTTTCACACCCATTATTGCATGTGTATGAATATCTTAGGTGAACTATTTCATTTGATCTAAAAATCAAAATAACTTAAACAACTTAGAAGAAATAAAAAACTGTGATAGACACACATAGAAATGGAAAACCCTTAGGAAAAATCTCATGAAGCTCCTTAGAGAATATGTCAAACTGTTAGTAAAGAAGGTACACATAAGCATAAATTATAATGCCATTGAAACAAACACCTTTGAATAGAGACATGTCATATTTCAAATGGTGCAAAACAACCCGTTTGAGGGGTTACATACTAAGAATCATAACCTTCACTTAGCCAACTTTCTAGAACATTGTCCCTAATGATGTCATTAGACTAAGACGGTTGCCCTTCTCACTAAAAGATAAAGCCATGATGTAGTTTGCCTCCTTAGCCTCAGAATCCATTACCACTTCAACTAACCTAGCTCAGAAGTTCCTAGCCAAATACTTCCCTCTATCTAAGCTTGTCAAGCTTAAGAATGACATAAACCTCGTTTACCTAGGTGCATGGAGAGATGATTTGCAAGGCTTGGGAGAAGTTCAAGGAGTTACTTAGGAAATGTGCACCCCATGCTCTGTCTAACTGGCTTTTCATCCAACCTTTTATAACATGCATGTAAGTTTATTAAGGTCCATTATAGATTTTATAGCTGGAATCCTTGATGTCAAAGCAATTTGATGAGGCATATGAATTGATTAAGAAAATGGCCACCAATAACATTCAACGAACTTCAAGTAAATTGATGAACAACCCATAATCCAACACCTACAACCTTGGCTAGAAAAATCACCCCAATTTCTAATGGAATAATAACAGTCAAGGTGTAGGAAACCATAAGTGGGAGAACACTCAAGCTAATCATAGATAGTTATAATAACCAAAGTAATAATAATATGTGAAAACCTTATCCTGCAGGATTCCTTTCCATCACCCAGCTAAAGGAGAAGAAGCAAACTTTGAAGGAGTCAGTTTTACAAATGGAGAACCATTTATAGAGAAAAATTATAACCATTAAGTTAATATAAAATATATTTTGATAACTGGAAAATTCAATGATTAATTGACCTTATAAGATTATCCCTAATAACATTGAGGTGAACCTTAAAGAGAAGGGTAAAAAGTAGTTCAATCGATGAGGCTGAGAAGTGGGAAGGAGTTGGATGATATCATTAGGATGGAGAAGAGTCCCTTTGAGGTAGAACCTAAACAAGAAATTTTAGTGAGATCTCAGTCAAGGATTTAGAGAGACATAGTCTATCTCCTAGGAAGGAGTAAGTGATACTCCCACCACTTTTTTTTGAAGGTTATAGAAGCAAAAATTAGACCGACAATATTTAAGGTTTTTAGAGGTTTTCAAGAATCTAATCATAAACATCCCATTTGCAGAAATTTTAGAACAGATGTTTAGTATTGATAGTTCATGAAAGATGTCCTTATTAAAAAGAGAAAACTAAAAAATTTTGAGATTGTAGCCCTGACAAAAGACTGTAGCAGTATTTTGCGAAAAAAGTTGCCACTAAAGCTTAAGGACCCAGGTATCTTTGCACTTCCTTGCATCACAAGAGACAGATTTATTGGGAAACCCTAGTATGAATTAGGAGCCTGAATAAACCTTATGACCTATCCATTCAAATGGCTAAGATTAGGAGATGTCCAACCCACTTCACTGACCCTTTCAGTTAGTTGACTGATCCTTGACCAACCCAAGGGAAATCATAGAGTACATATTGGTTAAGGTTGATAAATTTATATTTTATGCTGATATTGTGGTCCTAGATTTGAATGAAGAACAGAAGATATTGTTGATTCTTAGTCAGCCTTTTTTACCCATGAGAGTGGCAATGATTGATGGTTAGAAGGAGAAATTGAATATGAGAGTTAATGATTAGGAGGATATATTTGATGTTTTAAAATCAATGAGATTTCTTCATGTCACTAGAGATGATCAGTGTCATAGAGTATATTTGGTGGAAGCGGTAATTTTGAGATAATTTTTTGAAATTCTGAAAGTGGATCTGGTAGAGCAAGTAATGGTTAAGGATTGTAATGAGACATCTATGAAGGATTTTTGCTCTACTATTAGAGCATACTCTATAACCATTAGGTGGAGATTTGATCTCTTAAACACAACCACAAATACTAAGCTTTAGTGTCATGTACGAAAGTATCCCTTGAGTTGGAATTGAAGGTCCTATAAAAGCACCTCAAGTATTTTTATTTGTAAGATTCAAGCGACAATATCTTGAACTTTTCGAGGGGTTTAGCAGTTGAAATCTACCAAGTGAATGCATTCGTTGGCTGGAGAGGGGCCTCAATGTGCTCAAAGTGTTTTCTTTCCATCAATATTGGCTCAAAACTATCATGTTACTAGGAGTCTCTTGCTCTTAATTCGAACAAGTATGCCCTCCAACCTTTTGGAGTTTTTTTCCTTTTTAGGATTTTATTTCCTTCTTCCTACTATTACTTCTCTGATGGCTTCTAGTATTTGACCCATGATCCAGTCTTTTAACTCTTGGATATATTGTTGAATGAACTCTCGAGTGCACTCTTTGTTCACTAAATATTTTATGTGGGCTCGTTTGTTAAGTATCATAGGGGGGTTACAAGGTATTTTATGTGTAAGAAAATTGAGTCTATGGCTCAACTACCCTATCACTTGGCCTACTGAGATAAGCGATCTTTAAGTCGGTAAGGCCCGTTCGGTTGACTCTTCTGAGTTGGGGCAATCAATCAGCTCTTGTTGTCAATTGGTCATCCAAACTTTGCTTGATCAGCTCTTGTTGTCAATTGAAATTCTGAGTTGGGGCAATCGATCAGCTCTTGTTGTCAATTGGTCATCCAAACTTTGCTTGATCGGCTTGAGTCAACTAGTCGGCTACCTTGGTCAAGCTGCCAACTGTCGTCCCCTAAATAAGATGGTTATATCACTACTATGAGACTAGGATGTCTGGTAGAGGGTGAATCACCGTAATTTGACAGGTAGCCGACCCCAAGACAGGAGATCCATTTGGAGTGTTCATGAAGTGTGTAGTGATGAGAACCTTAGGACTCCTGAATAGTCTTATGAACTCTTGTGAGGTGGCTGGTGATGTTGGTATGAGAGTTGGGCTGATGCCTTCTCTTGTTTCGATTTTCTTGATCTTCAACTTGAGCGGCCTTCGTTTGAACAGCTTAGGATTCTGCTTCGAAAGAGCTGTAATTGGTCAATCAGTCCCTTTAATCTTTCTTTGATGTGACATTTGATCTTCCTTCAGTGGGTCGTCCGTGATTATACTTTTGGCTTTTAGTCCGTTGAATTTCCTAAAGATTCTGGTGACATATTTCTGATATACGATCTAGAAACTAAATATATATCAATAAATTTTTAATGTCAACAAATAATGAAATTATCTAGGCACGTGACTTGAGCAACAATATTTCAGAATTATTTGTAAGAAACACAAGTCAATAGTTGAGCTTAATCAATTTGTCAAGGTGAGCCTGCTTATCCAAGGCATTTCAATTAGCTCCATATAATCACATCAAGTGGAATAACTATAAATAATTTGAATCACTAGTTCAAATGACTAAATTCAACAAATCATTCCAATAAAAACAATTCGACAAGGTAGATACACTTTTATCAATCCCCCAAATAATGTCATGACTTTATAAGCTAAATCAATCAACATTGTGTTGTGTTTTTAGCAGCTTTGACACTTTCTTTTTATATAACCACATTTGTAACCATTCTTAGACATAATCAACCCAACTTATAAATAGGAGAGATTATTTCCCAAAAATAAAAAAAGGAAAGTATCCTTTAAAAAGACAAGAAATGGGTCAAGGAAATTTCTCATTTCTTTTTTATTTTCTAAATCACCTTATCCTTCTTGTTTTGATTCCAAGTCAACATCTTGAGATATCGATGTTGCAATTGCGAGAAAAAAATATTAATTCATGACTCAAGATGCATTCAAAGTCCAATAATGAGGCGCCACATGTTAAGTGGGTCAATCTCAGTGTACTGCAGTGAACTCACTTGATACATGACGCCTCATCTTTGAATCCGAAACACAAATTACAGATGTAATATTTAATCCAATTGCAAACCTTCAACACGCCAGCGAAGGAGAACAAAAACATATATCCAACTGAACTTGAACAAGCGTAGCTTTACACATGAAATGTATAACAATACAATAAAGAAAATAACATGTTAACTGTATATAAACAATTTTATATAATTATTAGTGCCGGGACAGAAATGACACGTGTCTCATGATCGATCGTCTTCTCAAAGCGGATTAAGTTGGCTTTTAGAAGAAGCACCGGCGGCGGGGGTATCCGGCGACTCGCCTTCTTCTGCCACCTCTTCTACAATCCCAGTTGCTATCGAAGAGGGATCGTGCTGCCTGATGACCAGCACGGATGCGGTGGTTGAGTTTGATGCTCCCATGTAACTTCCCACCGGCCCAAGCTCCGGGCAGTCGATCCGGTCGGTGAGGGGCATCACAGGCGTCCTCTGACCCACAAGGAAGAGGTCGCATCTTCTTACCTCCTTAATGGCTGACACGATTTCCTCCCTTTTTCCCGCTATCCTCTCCTCAAGCCTGATCGATCCGTCGGTCTTCTCCGCCACCCTCTTCTGCAGTCGGGTTATGCATTCATCGTCATTGGATCGCTGATCTCCGTCCATCCCAATGCCGATTCCCCCGGCTTCGCTGCTTGGGAAAGAGGGGCAGCCAGGTGGAGGGAGGAAGCAGAGGACGGTGAGGGCAATCCCGGGATGCTCGGCCATTCGGAGGCCATAGGCTAGGGCTTCCCGATCGTCTGATCCGCCGAAGAAAAGAACGATGACGGAGTAGGAAACATCGCTGGCGGATACCTGGGCGGAGCCCCCGAAGCCACGATCAATCAGGATGGCGACGGAGCAGGGGGCGTGGTGGAGGACTCGCTGGTTCAATTGCCGGTATTCATTGCCAATTGATACCATCGAGCCGTCCACCTGCTGGATCTTGTGGAAGGGGAGCAGGATTAGGGTAACGCGCTTCTGATGGGCGCTGGTGACCACGTCCTCGTGAATGGTGAGCAGGTCTGAAATGGCAGTCATGGGCCGGATGGTGACGTGGCTAAGCTGCTGGTAGGCCTGGAACGCGACGACGATCTGATCTCTGCCGCTGTCATTGGCGTCGATGTTATCTTTCTTGTTGTTCCAGAAAGGGACGCCGTTGCGACGGGCCTTGTGGACCATATAAATGGCGGATGGGCGTTCGGAGAGCTCCATGAGATGCATGGCGTAGACAGTTAAACCGCGGCGGCCAGTTCCACGAGAAGATTCGATCAGGTTTATGAGGGTGGGGATGTTGCGACTGCCGTGGAAGCACGCAAGGATCCGCAACTCGCTATCCATGCCCGCACTCTCGATCTTCCTCAGTTTGTACGGAGCCGCCCGCCGCGCCGGCTTGTAAATCCCCATCACAATCGGCGTCGTTATGAAGGTCGTGAACAGCGCCATCAACACCATGATCGCGAAGGTCTCTTCGTTTAACACCTGTATTTGGTTTTGTCCAACGGATCAAAATGAGATCTTTCAAAGAAATAAATTCACTGCTGCTTGTTGAGTCATTATTACCTTTCGATCTTTTCCGATATTGAGAACGATGAGTTCAACGAGGCCTTTAGTGTTCATGAGGAACCCTAGCGCGAGGGCCTCCCGATGGGGGATTTTCATAACGAGGGAGGCGAGAATGGTGCCCCCGATCTTGCCGAGGCAGGCGTTGAAGATAACTAAGAAGAGCAGAGCCCATGAGATGCCGCCGCTGATGGTGGCGACGTTAGTTTTGAGGCCGCTGGAGACAAAGTAAAGCGGCAGAAAGAGACCGGAGATGAGGTCTTCAACTTTCTCGATGAGAACGCCTGCGAAAGGACCTTCCTTGGGAACGACAATACCGACCACAAAGGCGCCGAAGAGGGCGTGGATGCCAATGGCGTCGGTAATGAACCCGGCGGCCAGAACGGTTGTGAGCATGGCGCAGATATAGATTTCCTTAACCGGCTCGCCCTCTACAGAGTGATGAGCCATCCGCGCGAGAACAGGGCGAAGGGCCAGGGCAACTATTGCGACAAAGGCAACGCCGGCGAGGAGTACCCAGAGAGAGACAAGCGGAGAGCCGGAGCCTGAGAGGGCGATGGCTAGTGCGAGGAGGATCCATGCGGCGACGTCGTTGACGGCAGCGGCAGACATGGCCATGCGGCCTATATCGGTCGTGAGGAGCTTTAGCTCGGCGAGGATACGAGCAAGCACGGGGAAGGCGGTGATGGAGAGGGCGACGCCCATGAAAATGAGGAAAGGAGTGCGGCGAACTCCTTCGGCTATGGTCTTGCGGAGGACCAAAGAGGTGCCGATGCCAAGGAGGAAAGGGAGGGAAATGCCGGCGATGGCGATGGCCAGGGCACGCTTGCCGGTGCGGCGGAGGGAGTTGAGATCAAGCTCAAGACCCACCAGGAAGAGGAAGAAGAGCAAGCCGATGTTAGCGAGAGTGTCAAGCACAGTCATGCTCTGCTTGGGAAAAACGGTCTCTAGAAACGCCTTGCTGCGGCCCAATGCCGACGGACCTAACAGAATGCCGCCCTGCAAATTTAGAAATATAGAAAGAAAATGATGATTATAGAAATTGCTATTAATACAGCGAAGATTCTTATTAATCATATATATTTTATATCATATCAGCATTACAATTTGAATTTTAACATGGAGGTACTCAGTCGGCCGACTTGTTTCAATTTATCACACAGAAACCATAAACATAAACGACCGGCTGAGTGGTGACACAGCGATGGATTGGTGGAACGAGGCACCCAATCGACTGTAGATTTTGTACGTTGCAGTAAAGTGGGTCGATCAATTAGCCGCCATCAAGAATTCCTTCGTGCGTCCCGGTCGGCCTGGACTATTGGTGTGACATGCCCTTGATGTAATGTGTCGATTGATTCCCAACCGTGCAGTAGTGTATGGTAGGACGACTTGGTTGTCTGGCCGTCATCTAGGCCATCTAAATGCTTTGAGATTTGTGCTGATAATTGTGGTGTATACATATTAGTTCATTTAATTTCCCTTCTCTCTGAAAGTGACATCTATGATAACGAAAAAAATTAATACAAAAATCAATAAAGTCAATTTAATAATCAACTTCCCTTGAATTTTGTGTCCAGTGCGCTATATAAATAGTCACAAACTTGGCATTGCATCCGTTATTATTATTTTTCTTTGATCAGCCGATTTGAATCATGATCGACGATTAGAGAAAACTCTATATAAACCCCAAGATTTTGGCGAAGAAAGGCTAGGGCCTTTGGCTCCTTCAAAGAGAATCAATGTCAGGAAGGAAAGGAAAAACGATTGAGGTCCGAATCTACGCCGGCTGATCGAGTCGGCTCATCTAGGGACCCTAAGAGGCAGGTGTCGAAAGTTCCTCGTCAGGGGACTGCGATTACTGAGTCAGGTGTGGGTGCGAACGACGGGGGCCAGCAGGCCTTGCTTACTCAAGGTGTTGTGGGGGCACAAAATGTTAAAAGGGAACAGAGATTGGTATACCCCTCCCTCTACTCACTAAAGGCACATCGCAGTAGGGGAAGCGGGGAAGATATCTGAAGACCATTTCTTCATTGGATCGATTTATGAGTACGTAAAACAAAATTATTTTTTTTGTGGCCGCCGTTGATTTTTAACATTTCCTTGAAATTATTCATATGTAGGTACATTGGTTGAGCCAGAGGGTCATCAGAACGGCGTGCAACCAAAAGACACTTCAGAGTTCGTAGTTGCTGTGGCCAGTTTGCAGGCTGAGCTTACGGGAACCCTGCTAGCAGCAATTTCGGGAGGATACCGACTGTCAACTCTTGTACTCAGCGCTGATGCTGATCAAGGGCTAATGGAGCATCAATCGCCTCCCCTTGGAGCCGTGGGACAACAAATTGGAGGGGTGAGGCCCTCGGTGACAAGCTCTGTCAGGCTCCTCTATCACGGAGAAGTCAGCCAAAAATATGTGATCATTGAGCTTTAACTGTTGTTCGAGGGATGTGGTGATATTGAATTCACTGAGCTCTACCGTCCATTTCAAGAGTCGACCAGAGTTCTCTGGCTGCGTGAGGATAGACTTTAACGGATGGTATGTGGTGATCCTGATCGGATGAAACTAAAAATACGGTTGAAGCCTACGAGTATAAATAATCAACGCAAAGGTTCTTTTTTCCATAATAGGGTACCTAGTATTGGCATCATGAAGCACTCGACAAATGTTGTAGATTGGATACTATTTTCCTGACTTCTCTCGAACTAGGACCGGTTTACAGCCTCTCGTCTAACTCTGAGCTATTGTGGCAGTTCTTTTGTTGGCTTCTGACTCTAGAGCAGTGATGGTGACGCTAAGAAATCTTTCAAGTTCCTGAATGCTTCCTTACTTTCGGTCGTCCATTCAAAATTCTGGTTTTCCTTCAGTGCCTTAAGAATGCAGCGCACTTGTCGACCGACTTCAGGATGAAACTACTGAGCGTGACGATCTTACTGGTCAGTCTTTGGATTTTCTTGGTGTTTCATGGAGGGGTTTAATCTCATATTGAATTTTCAGGTATTATGAAGGTTTCTTTTAGAACTTTGATGTGTTGTTCCATTGATTTAGTTTTAATAGAATATTTTTGACATACACCTCAATATTCATTTCTTTTTATTAGAGAAAATTACATCCATAAGGCGCTGATAGATCACCCCAATATTTTTCAATTTAAAGGGCATTACATTAAAATAAAATATGCCTTATGCAGTAATAAATGTTATTTTCTCTGTGTCAGCCAGATGCATCTTTATCTGGTGGTAGCCGAAATAAGCCTCGAAGAAACCCACCATCGAGTATCTTATTATTGCGGCCACCAAGGTGTCAACCTTTGGCAAGGAGTAGGTTTTTTGGGCAAGCATCATTGAGGTTGGTGAGGTCGATGCACATTTGCCACTTGTCTTTAGCTTTCTTGACCATGAAAACATTCTAGAGCCTCGTCGGGAACTAGACTTCATGAATGTAGCTAGCGTCCAACAACTTCTGTACATCTGCCACTATCGGGTAAGCCAAAGTTTTGGAGGTCAATAGGATCTTCTGTTGTACCGGACGAGAGGAGGGCTGATATTCAACCGGTGGTATGTTGTGTCGATTGAAACATCGGAGAGTTAAAGTCCCATTTATTCATATTTTTGTCATGTATTCATAGAGGCGTGTTTCATACAATTATAGAAAGGAGGAAACAATTATAGAAATAATGCTTAATGCTATTAAAACTCTACTTGATTGTATAGATTTTATGTCATAATTGCATTACAATTTGAATTTAAACATTGGCGGTAATCGACTGAGGCGACCGGCCGAGTGACATCTGTGCTTTCTGAAGTATACGTTGGTCGATTGAGGTATTTTATCGCATGGCGGCCTTGCTCGATGTCTTTTGGCACGCTCGACCAGAGTAATTAGTTGTGAGGTAGTCATTCGGTCCGGACGCGAGGCCAGTTGGTCGAACATGATCGATCGACTTTTTTTGTTGAGTGACCCGTGAATCATTTTTCATTCAACTTGAGTCTTACGAAGCTCGTGTCCAACCTGCCTGGTTGGTTCGTCGCCTCAGCCGGATCTCCAAATCATACAAGGTCCTAAGTAGATATTGTCACAGTCTATGTGGAATATCCGAAGAGACTCGTTGCTGAGATGATATATGCCTCACTTTAGACATGTCTTGCCACCACCGAGCGGGGAACCATTTCCAGAGCTAGAACCTAGCCCGTGTTTGGACACGCGGTTTCATGCTCGGCCTTGAGTCGTCAGTTTTGAATGAAGGCTCTTTCATCTTTGCTAATTCGTTCTCTTTGAAATCCGTGCATATATTTTGGTTAATACAATATAAATCTATGATCATATTAATGTTGGATGGTTCATAATTAGATTAGCACCATTGATATGTTAACTAAAAAATTTATCTTTTCTATCGAGAGCTTCAGCATGATTAAGCTTTAGGTTAGAGCATGATACGGATGATTGCAGACATATTCAAAGAGGAGACTTTAAGTTTCGTTTTCTTCTCTCTTAAAATCTAAACAAAAAGAATATACTTCCTATCTAAGCCCAATTTTATATACCATCTCTTCGACTTAACAAAAAGGCATTTTAGAAGGAATATTCTAAATAAGTGTCCTCTTAACAGCATATATTTTTTCTTAAAAATAAACATCTTGTTTTTCAATCAAACAGTAAGTGAATAATTTTCACGCACCGAATAATTGTAAAAGAAAATTACGGAAAAAAATTGCGTATATAAGACGTACGCAGAGCTGCGTATGTCTGTAACCTGCAAACAGGTTACAGGGAGGATTTCAGGAGGTTATAATCGCGTTATACCCTCTGTAACCTCCCTGTAACCTACCTATATATGAAGGTAGGTTACAAAGAACAAAGAGGTTACAGGGGGTATAACGCGGTTATAACCTCTTAAAATCCTCCCTGTAACTTGTTTGCAGGTTCCAGACGTACGCAGTTCTGCGTACGTCTTATGTACGCAAATTTTTTTCCGAAAATTACAGTAGAAATGACGATAAAAATCAGATGCTACAAAGAAGCGGAAAAAATTTGGCTGCATACATAATAGGTTGCGGGGAGGGTACTTGAGAGTTATATCCGCGTTATACCCCATGTAACCTTCTGTAAAATACTTGTAACCTACAGAAGAGCGGAACTTACTAGAAGGTATATATAGGTTACAGGTAGGTTACATTCAGGTTACAGGGGGTACAACACAGATATAACCCCCCCCCCCCCCCCCCCCCCCCCTCACCCCGTACGCAACGCTGCGTACGTCTTACGTACGCAAAATTTTCTCCAAAGAAGCATGAACAAATAATCTTTACGACGCAAATAGAAATTTATTTAATCTAAGGCAATGTTTGGCTGCAACTTAATTTTTATTAAATAGGACTATTAAATCTGGAACAATTGCAGAATAAATGTGCCACCTAATTCAGTTTCCGATGAATCAATGCAAGAAAATTAGATATAACAAAAACAAAGCAATGAATTTATTTATTTATTTATTTTTTGTATTTAGCTGAATTTAAGATGAATTCATGATTAAATCTGATATTAATAATGTCGAAGCATATGAAGATGATAAAACGCAATTTAATGATCATTAATGGCAATGTTAAAAAAAAAACTCACAATGACTTCGGCGATGACGCGGGGCTGGCGGAGAGGGCGGAGGAGAAAACCTAGGGTTCGTGTCAGGAAGACGATGAGGCAGATCTGTACGATGGCTAGAGGCAGCGCGAAATCGAGCGGATTCTCGCCTTGGAACGACCCGTTCGATGTCGCCTTCATCGGCTTCAAACATGTCGTGTTCGCCATCGTCGGCTCTGCTCCGGCCTGTGAAGATCAAATGAATTAACGATGATCCATGAATTCGAACAATCTCTTAGAAGCTCATCGTTGTTATGTATGGATGGAATAACATTACCCAATGCGATGTTTTGGAGAAGAAGGGAAGACTTAGATTTAGGGATTGAGTCAGTGGGATTGAAACAGAGGATGCGGATTGAAAAGTACCTTTAGAGTTCGATGAATCGGGGGCACTGCAGTTTTCTTGTGATTTCTGCAGCTTTTCTGTTTTTTTTCTTTTCTTTTTTTAAAGGAGGAAGCGCGAGCGCCGCGGTTGAGACCGTTGATGCAAGTCAGCCTGCGTGGATTTTGAAAGGAATTAAATTAAATTTTAAGAAAATGATGGCATTTACATGCATGTCATATTATTCTTATTTACTTATCTTATATTTAGCCATTGATATTTAAGTGCATACTACTCAATTTTTTAATATCACATGAAAAGTATCACTACCGTCGTATCTTTAAAGTTGAAATACACTTTTTAGGTGATGTTCGTGTTGCGTCTCGTGTCAGAAAGATTGTCTATCCAACACAAGCACGACTCACTTTTTTTTTTAGTGATTGCATTTTCCATTTTGGATCTGACTCACTCATTGAATTTTTTTTTTTTTTAGTGATTGCATTTTCCATTTTGGATCTGATTAGTCGTATCTTACTGTAGTTTTAGTACTGATTAGGTCAGTTTTCTTTTTTCCTTCAGTTGTATCAATTGACTATTAATTATGAAATAAAATTTATATTTTATTATTTATTCTTATTGTTATTCGCATATAGTTTTCCTTTTAAGAGGAAATGGGAGGAGGGGGATCAAATATTAGGGGAGGAGAGGGCTGAGG